TTCAACCTTTGGACCAGAAAGATCAAGATCTCCTTTGGGGAGGCTTATATCCACCTCTGGGCCTTCCCCTTTGAAGCCAGGCATGCCAAACTTGGGCATCTTGAATTTTGGCATCTTCAGTTTTCCTTCTGGTCCGTGTAGATCAACATCTGGGACCTCAACGTCCAGCTTTGGACCTTTGATGTCAATCTCTGGTCCTCTAAGTTCTCCCTGCAGTCCTGGGGCTGAGACATCCATATCTCCCTTGAGTTTAGGTCCTTTCAGGTTGAAATCCACATCTGGCATTGAGATCTTAGGGGCCTTGATGTTCATGTCCGGCATCTTAAATTTGGGTCCTTTCCACTTTCCTTCTGGGGCCTCCAGTTCAATATCAGGAACATCTACATCAAGTTTAGGTGCTTTGATATCAACTTCTGGGCCTTTCAAATCACCTTCCAATGTAGGTAAGGTCACATCTGCATCTCCTTTTAATTTGGGTCCTTTCAGGTTTAAGTCAAAATCTGGCATGGAAATTTTGGGAGCCTTAAAGTGCATGTCAGGCATCTTAAATTTCGGGCCTTTCACTTTTCCTTCTGGGCCTTCTATGTCCACCTCAGGGATATCAACGTCCACTTTGGGGCCTTTGATATCTATTTCTGGACCCTCGAAGTCACCTTCCAGTGTGGGAGCTTTCATATCAATATCTCCTTTGACTTTATGGCCTTTCAAATTCAAGTCAAAATCTGGTACAGAGATTTTAGGGGTTTTAAAATGTATGTCAGGCATCTTAAACCTGGGTCCTTTCAGTTTTCCTTCTGGGCCTTCAAGGTCAACATCTGGAACATCAATGTCTACCTTTGGACCTTTGATGTCAACCTCAGGGCCCTTCAAGTCACCCTCCAACTTTGGCACAGAGACATCAACGTCTCCCTTCAATTTGGGGCCTTTCAGATTTAGGTCTATGTCTGGCATTGAGATTTTAGGAGTTTTGATATGCATTTCTGGCATCTTAAACCTTGGACCTTTCAGCTTCCCTTCTGGCCCTTCTAGGTCAGGAGTTTCAATGTCCACTTTGGGGCCCGACAGGTCAAGATCAGCTTTGGGAAGGGTTACGTCCACATCAGGAGCTTCTGCTTTGATTCCTGGTATTCCAAATTTGGGCATTTTAAACCTAGGCATTTTGAGTTTGCCTTCAGGGCCATGAACATCAACTTCTGGTGCACCAACCTCCATCTTGGGTCCTTTGATATCAACCTCAGGGGCTTTCAAATCTCCTTCCAGGCTTGGTGAAGAAACATTCAGGTCTCCCTTTAATTTAGGCCCTTTCAAATTTAATTCCACATCTGGCATTGAGACTTTAGGGGAGGAGATATTCAATGACGGCATTTTAAATTTAGAACCTTTTGCTTTTCCTTGGATATCCACATCTGGACTCTGAACATTCACTTTTGGCCCTGAGATATCAACATCTGGTTTCTTGACCTTCACATCAACTTCAGGTGTATGAAGTTTGGGGCCAGAAAAATTGAATCTAGGAAGTTTAAATCGTGATTTCTTTGGTTTTGCTTCAATGTCTACTTTAGGTGTCTCCAGTTCAACATCAGGTCCTTTGATTGCAATGTCGGGTCCTTTAATGTCACCTCCTACATCTCCTTTGAGTTTTGGGCCTTTCAAATTCAAATCAATATCTGGCATTGAAATTTTGGGGACGTTAAAATGCATTTCCGGCATCTTCATTTTGGGGCCTTTCATTTTTCCCTCTGGGTGTTCGATTTCCAGATCAGGTGTTTCAATATCTAGTTTGGGACCAGATATATCCACTTCTCCCTTGGGTATGGTCACATCCACTGAAGGACCTTCTCCTTTAAATCCAGGCATCCCAAACTTGGGCATTTTAAATTTGGGCAGCTTGATTTTACCCTCTGGACCATGCAAGTCAACATCGGGCATATCAATGTCCATTTTGGGGCCTTGAATGTCCACATCAGGGGCTTCAACTTTTGGCAATGAAACATCCACATCTCCTTTCATTTTAGGTCCTTTCAGGTTCAAGTCAAAGTCTGGCATGGAGATTTTGGGAGCTTTGATGTTCATTTCAGGCATCTTAAATTTGGGTCCTTTCCACTTCCCTTCTGGGCCTTCAAGATCGACATCTGGAACATCAACGTCTAATTTGGGCCCTTTGATGTCAATGTCAGGGCTCTTCAGATCACCTTCCAAGCTCGGGACTGAGACATCCACATCTCCTTTCATTCTGGGACCTTTGAGGTTCAAGTCAAAGTCTGGCATGGAGATTTTGGGAGCTTTGATGTTCATTTCAGGCATCTTAAACTTGGGACCTTTCCACCTCCCTTCTGGGCCTTCAATTTCTACATCAGGTGCATCAATGTCCAATTTGGGACCTCTGATATCAGGGCCTTTCAGATCTCCTTCCAGTTTGGGAACAGAAACATCAACATCGCCCTTCAGTTTTGGACCTTTGAGGTTCAAGTCAAAATCTGGCATGGAGATCTTTGGACCTTTGATGTGCATTTCGGGCATCTTAAATTTAGGACCTTTTATCTTTCCCTCTGGTACTTCCACACTTATATCGGGAGCACTAATATCTAATTGGGGTGCATCAATATCGAATTCTGGCCCCTTAACATCCCCCTCTAGCTTTGGCACAGAAACATCAACATCTCCTTTCATTTTAGGACCTTTCAAATTCAAGTCAAAATCTGGCATGGAAATTTTGGGAGCTTTGATGTTCATTTCTGGCATCTTAAATTTGGGCCCTTTCCATTTCCCTTCTGGTCCTTCTATGTCAACATCAGGGACATCAATACCTACTTTGGGACCTTTGATGTCCACACTTGGACCTTTCAAATCCCCCTCCACCGTTGGTATAGATACATCAGCTTCTACTTTAGGCTTCCTCCAGTTCAAATCTATATCAGGCATAGAGATTTTAGGAACATTAAAATGCATTTCAGGCATCTTAAACTTAGGACCTTTAAGTTTTCCTTCAGGCCCTTCAAGGTCAACTTCTGGAAGGTCAACACCAACTTTGGGCCCTTTGATGTCCACATCAGGACCTTTCAGGTCACCTTCCAACTTTGGCACAGGAACATCCACATCTCCTTTCACTTTAGGTCCTTTCAGGTTCAAGTCAAAGTCTGGCATGGAGATTTTGGGAGCTTTGATCTCAGGCATCTTAAATTTGGGTCCTTTCCACTTCCCTTCTGGGCCTTCAAGATCAA